CTGTGTTGCCCAAGGCTCTGTCCAACTTGGCCTTGAACACTGCCAAGCATGGAGCATTTACCACTTCTTTGGGCAACCTGTTCCAGTGCCTCAGCACCCTCACAGTAAAGAACTTCCTTATATCTAACCTGAACTTCCCCTGTTTCAGTTTAAACCCATTCCCCTTTGTCCTATCGCTACGGTCCCTGATGAAAAGTCCCTCTCCTGCATCCTTGTAGGCCCCCTTCAGATAAAGTGTCCAAAACCTCACCAAGGGACACCGAAAGTTAAGGCAAATCCATAGAAGGCTGGAAGTTGATGTGCATAAGGTTAAAAAGTTTCCTCATGAATGATCTGTATCAACAGTAAAATGGCTTTAACTCACTGTAGCTTAATTAAGCCTGGTATGTCCCAAGGTTAATTAAGCTATAGCAAACCAAAGCCACTTTAATGTACATTCTCTCAGTCAAGATGTGTTTAATATCTCTTAATTTATGTATAACTTTGTACTTCCCATTGGTCTGCCTTAACTTCTCTAGGTGTTTCTTTCTGACACAGCCTGAAAATTCCAGTTTCTATCATTGTCATCAGGGTTAAAAATGCCCTCCATAAGATATGTCTACCATTGCAGGACCACATCAGAAACCATCCATCATCAACAGAATTCTGCATCAGCTAGTTTAGGGAATATGCAATAAGCACATATACTTCCTTAACCTATTTCTTCTGCTTATGCCCAGTAAGTCCATTCACATCCTTTTAGCACGGTTGGAGAGGGAGTGTTAGCATAGAAGCATCAGCCCAACCAGATCCAGAGCAGAAAAACTTCTACACACATAACCGAACCCATCAGCCTTCATGCTGAAGGCTGAGAAGCACATGGCGACCGTCACTTGCATTCACATTTGGTTCACTGCCCAGGAAAGCCAACTGCCATCCTAAACTGGCCCACATACCATAGCTTCAGCAGGGAGATCCGAGTTTCAGGAAAAAAGTCAGATTCACCAGACTTGCGTTTTTGAAAAGCTATTTAACTGTAAAGTTTTCTAGATTCTTGATACCAAATGCTGCTACAATCGGTAACATTATGTAACAGATTTAGAAAATGCACACAAAATAAGCCCTCCAACCCTCATTATTTACTATTCAACATATCTATTAATCATTTAAATATAAGATTAGCAATAAATAGCTTTGCCCAAGTGATACATTGCCATGAGAGAAGCTCTGACCCTTGAAGTTACGCAGAAAGCCACTCGTACCACAATCCTGCACCATCAGTAAGAGTATTTCCTAGAATTAGCAGGCGAGTATTCTGCTCACGCAGCACCTCCAAGCCTCAGCAACGTGTGCGCTAATGAAGCACGACTGCTGGAGGAAATCAGCTGTCTTAGGACTGGCTCTTCCCAGCACAACACAGGAACTCTGATCCTATTTACATACAGCAATGCCTGGTGGTAAGAGTAATCGGCAAGAGGAAAACACACCGGGACCTCCTTTACTTCTAGTGTGTGTAGAAGCTGTTTTTCTATCTTGTCTTGTCTGCCTTTATTTAGCTCACAAAGAGCAGATTTTTCCTTTCTATTATTAGCTCCAATACTCCAGAGCAGTGATCCTGGTTACTGCTCATGTTATGTGCAATTCCATGTTACCAAAAAAGCCAGAGATTGCGATGCCTGGGACAGAATTATTCTATCAGCAGTTATCAACACTGGGAGGACAAGGCTCTGAAAAAACCACAGAGAAAGATGACGATTCAGCCTCAATAATGCACAGAGGAACCCAGACTGAGAGCATTTACAAGCATAAGCAAGAGCTTGCTTCGGGTGCCAAGGCAGCAGGCTATCCTAGCACCTGCAGGAATCCGAGCTCATTCCCCACTCCAAGGCTTGCCCTCACCAGCTCAGTGCCGAAAATTTTTAGGAAAACCTAACTTGTTTTGTGTCACTTTTAAACAACCCCTCAGGAACATCTAGTGATGGGCAAAGAGGGAACCTGGTTAATAGATGAGGCAACAACCATGGCTAAAATAGAGACTCAGGACCTAAAAAAACACCTCCTGACATAAGGAACCTCTGCTCTGCCTGGGGTTGGAAGATGGGAATGCCACAACTATGGTGTCGCAGAGTAATGCAAATTAATATCTGGAATTTTAGGTACTATTTCAACCATAGTGACAGATTACAAAATTGAAAGGTGCATTTACAGCCTATGTAGCTCGTCAGAGTATTGCCCCAATCAGCTCCAAATGCTATTTACATGTCCCTACAGCCAATAGTAGCAGTTTAGCACAGGAGCTCTTTAGCTAGCCAAAGAGTACATTTCCATTACAATACTAAACCTACACAAAAAGCTGCTAAAGATGTTACTAGATAAATTAAAGGATTTTAAGTACATCCTTCCTGAGTCTCTGGCAGCGTGCGTGTGTTTAGAACACCCACAGTTGCATTGCAGCAATCCTGGAATAACTCTACTAAGGTAATAAATCAAGCCCAAAAGTGGGAACGTTTCCATCAATTAAGTTTGCGGAAAACCAGTCTGAAGTGGGCTTAACTCAGCCCACATATTATTATGTTACCAGCTTAACACACAACTCTGCTCCTTCCTGAGAGCATTAAAGTGAAGACTTTCCAAACACTTTCTCTGAGCTATTCCTCTGTGCTCTAAATCTAATACCAGGTCTTCTACTAAAAAAAGAGATGGCAAGTTTACAATTCTTATTGCATGAAAATTCACCACTGGGGTTTGAGTGACATCGGTTTTGATAGAAAATGTAGAGAAAAATAAATCAGCTGAAGGCTTTCCTTCTTTGTCTGGCCACTCTTTGTCCTAATAATAACAGCTGCCTGCCAAAGAATTAATTGCCCTTGACATTTGTTCATCACAAAGCTTCTTAGGTAGCTGTTACAGGACTTTGCCATGTAAGCAGGGAAGTGACCAGATGCAGATAGATGACTTCCTCTTCCTGATTAGCACAACTCAAAATTTACTTCTCTTGGATCCTGAGAGGACTGTAGTTGAATTACTTCTCCCCTTCAAGGAACAGCAGACTGCACTGGAGGTTTTAACTTCTTTCAAAATAGATTAGATGTTGAAGTCAAACCATTACCCGGACACTTCATTACTGTTACACCAAGACAAATGAAGAATCAAGTCTAGGATCTTTGTTCTTATCACAAAAGTGAACATTCAGGTGAGCACCTACAGCATCCCGCAAACCAGCAAGGACCCACACTTGAATGATCAGACTTTGCCATTCTTGTAGTCCTCACGTCTTTTACACAAAGCAAGTAGCAGCAGACAGGATTCATAGGGACATTGGAGGTGCATTGCATCCCACTGCTGGAATAACTAAGGATAACCTGCTGGCTGAAAATAAATTCTGCTGCTGCATTCTAGATGCTCAAAATTTATTAGTCATTAAGTTATGACAAATTGAAACTGGGAGAGCACGATCTTGTTAAGCACAGAGCGGAGAGCTAGAATGCCTTCATCTATTCATAGCCATGCCACTAATTCAGCAGTCAACTTTGGACGAGTCACTTCATCACTCAGACCATCAATTCCTCATCTACAAACAAGGGATGATAATATCACTTCAGCAGTGAGAGGAGAAGGAGGAAGGCCATAGAAGGCTTAATTCAATGTTTGTAAAAAAAGTCTTAAGATTTCTAGATGAGAGCACAACTGAAGGGAAAAATATCAAGATGATAGTGGAAGATATTTTCAATCTATACAAGATTTATGGAGCTTTCACACTTCTCTCTTGATTTGTATTCTCTGTTCTCATACACTGGCAGAAGTGCTAAGTGGAATACCCAGGCAAACAACAACTGTAGACAGGCACGTATAGTCTGATGCAGGCAGTGGACTCAATGGTCATAAACAACTGCATGACATCATAAACACATTTTTAGAAAAGTTGATGCATCTCAAAAAAAGAAAACCATGAAACCATGAAAGACAAACATCAAGTTCTTAAAACTCAGTAATACTGGTGTTCCTGGCGCACTAGCACTATTGATGGGAAAATGATGCTACAGGCACATTGCTGCCCTGACCAAGATATGCAATCAAGTGCCACCACTGCTGAAAATACTTAACACTGCCGATATCAGAACATTACTGGTCTGATGTAACTGGTAAGGCTTCACTAACACAAACAAAGCAGGGAAAATGGACCAAAACATATTGGTGCCTTTCAAAGGACAAAGAGGTCAGTAAATCACAAAACCCACAGTGTTCCTATTACCTCAGGAATCCCCTGACACTACAGAACAGCAACTGTTTTGGTTAGAATGAAACATGATTTAAATAGAAATGCTATTCAATCTGCTGAAACACAAAACAAATCCACAGGCAAACAGTACAAAGCATCATATATGGTTTCACACACCAATCCAAGATTCGAAGACCAAGAACACAACCTGAAAAGAACCAATTACAGCACATTCCCTTAAGGCCTATAATTCACTGTGTTAATGAAAGACTTTGTAGGGATGACAAGCTAACTGCACCCTTTCCAAAAGACATTACACTTGGGATGCAGTAAATGCTCCTGTTTTAATGTGGC